CAGCGTCAGCTCCCGGCAGCTGTTGCCTAAACGTCCGCCAACATTAGCAGGTTGAAGGCAAGCGTCCGTCTTGGAGAGGAGCAAAGGCAAAGCCTCCTGCGTCTGCGTCGCACCTGGTAGAGACTGGGAAAGGTGAGGAGTGGTTTAGTAAAACGAGGTGTAGTCTAGCAGCATGAAATAAAAAACATCCTGTCTGAGACCCTCACAAATACAGGTGATGAAGCAGACGCCGCGGCAGAGCCTCCTCGCAGGGTAGCGGACTTTAGGGGCAGACCAAACAGGGCTCCCAGGCCGCGGGCCTGGCTTGGTTTCACCACGTTTTGCCCAAAGCCAGTTTCAGGCTGAAAGAATTGTTAGACCTTGCCTTCACAGCCCTCAGGGGCCGCCGCCAGCATCTGCTGAAGTAGCACCTGAAAATGAAATTGTGCTAATACATTTGACATCACAGATTTCGTTTTTTTTTTTTCTATGGAGTTTGGAAAAGCTAAGTGTAACTTTTTTTAACTGATTGTTTTGAAGTGAACTTTTCACTACTATAATATAATGTTTCAGCTTTTCAAGAACTTTTACTTCTATTTTAACTGATGAATTTTCCTATCTTTATGTTTTTTTGCCCCACAAACAGAAGCTTCATTCAGGGAGGGAGCGGCACACAGGAATTATTCTTCACAACTTCTCTAACAGCCCTAATTACTGCATTATAATTCTGCAAACTTCAGTTCCTTTCAGATGGTCATTTCTGATGGGTACTTACAGTTCTCTCTTCTTTGTAGTTCTGCTTTTGCATCCCTTTAATTATAGTGCTTTTCTGACTTGCTGACTGCCAGAGTAGCAAAGCTCCTTTCAGCAGTTCTGCACTCACCATGAGAAAAAATTCCAACAGCCTGAAGTGGGACCCAACCCACCTTCAGCTAAAGACCGCTGACACCATAGAGAAAACATCCTCTGTATCACTTGCTCTGTTTTGGGCTCATACATTTTGCTGAAGTTCTCCTCCCTGGTGTCTTGTGAACACGTTAAAATTGAATCTTTTAAGAGGACTTTTTTTGCAGATTCAGTAACACAAACTCTGGGTGTCAAATCAGACTCCTGAGTTTGTTGTATCACCACCAGCCATGGCAAGAACAAGAATATGATGGGTTATTCCCAAGAAAAAAACCTGGCTGAAAGCCATGAACTGGAAAGCCAGCTGAGGGTATATGGTATCCCTCTGACTGTGCAGAGTCAGACCAGTTCAAGAGCGGGCTTTACAATTAGGTATTTATAACATCTTTGGTCCATTCCTACCCCTACACAATTTGAAGTGAAAACACCAGGAAGATGTAGGAAGGAAAAGACAAAGACATGTCTAGAGGGACCTTGACCTCAGTAAGACCAACAGGCTCAGGTATAAAATAAAGACATGTGGCTAAGTAACATTTCCTAGGTGTGGCCTGTTTTAGTGCTTGTGGGGAAAGAATTAAACCAGCGACATGAAAATCCTTGTTTCTGTATTTGTCAGACATTTACACAGTGGTTCAGCTGCTTTTTCTTATACTCATGTTCCCAGGTGCTTGTGTCAAGAGGCCACTGTCAGGCCGTCGTGTATTCTCTGACTGTCCCATCCCAAGTCAGTGTGCCTCCATGAGAGTCACGCCTGAGCTCTGGTTTTTAGTGTCCTCCTGAGTATTTCCAGTAGAAACAGCTGCAGTTTCTAAACTCATTTTCCATTCAAATGGGTTTAACTTTCTCTGTTCACTCTTTTAATCTGCTTCCTGGGCTCCTGGATCCCCCTGCTTCCTCATGTCATCCATTTAAGAAGTCTGTCCCCACTAAGCGTAATTATCCCTTTGGTCTGTAGCTGAAATAACGCGGATTACTACCCCGAACACCAGGCTGGGGAGGAAGCACCACCTCCAGCACATCAAAAGACAAACTGCGTGTGAAGACTGGTGGCATACAGGTGTGTGTAACACAGCCTTTGCAAGGAAGGTCACTGGAGACAGCCTCATCTACCCAGTTTCCCTCCATCAGGCATGCGGCAGTACACGGGATCTCTGTAGATGCTTTTGGAAGTGTTTCCACATGCAGCAGGGCTGATGTTTTAACATCAGTGCTTCTGTAAGTCCTTCAGAACACCCTTCTGCCTTCAAAGCCCTCCTGGAGACCCGGGGGAGCAGGCGGGGCACACCATGCAGAGGTGATGCACCTACACCTTATCAACCCTGGCAAAACTCAGGGGGGACGAGCAGAGGTGGAGGGTGCCCTTGCTTTTCTGCGGCACCTGCTCCATGTCAGTGGAGGACCTCAGGACATGTGTGAATGAGGAGAAAACATGACCTCCTGCTGTCTCCCCAGGGATGAGGCTGCCTCCTGCACCTTAGAGTGCCCTCACAGCCCTTGAGGGTCTGCAGGTGGCCGAATCCTGCTCGGGGCAGCTGCCCTGCAGGAGAGCATTTCTGTCCTTGATGGGCATTAAGTCTGTGAATAAAATGATCTAGGCCTACTGCTGAAGTAAAGGTTTGCTTTCCTGAGTAAAGGTTAGGGGACTGGGGGAAAAAGGAGTAAGGATTTCTGGATTTGCCTTGTTAATGACAAGTTTGTTTTGTCAAGATTCCATATGCAGCATATAATAGGCGCAGCATATAGGTAATGTTATATATTGTATTCTATAGTAAAATAGTCTAGAGAGTGTGTGTGTGTACACACATACACAAATCTTCCTCCTGAGTTCAGTTTTTGCTGAAAGTATCTCCCAGTTTTCAAGAGTTTGTTACAATTCTCTCATGGGGGTGGTGCAATCAATACTATAAGTTAAATCTCATTAAAACCTTCTAATATTCTCCTTCAATGTCAATACTGATTAGACTAAATATCTAATTACTTTATTCCCTGATTTCTTTCTAAATAATTTAATTTCTGGAGCAGCACTAGCAAAGAACTTGTAGGAAATTATTCTAAAGGCAACTATTGCATTTAAAAAAGGAAAGAATTGGGGCTCTAAAGCTATGTCCATGCTGCTAAATAAAATGAGGCCAAGGCTGTCGTTGGTGATGGGAACCAAAAGGAATGGGCTGGCAGTGTCCACACTGCATCCTGGCCTTGGGCAACCTCTGGACCTGAAGTGAAATGATGCAAGGGCTGGGTTGCAGCCCCTCAAGAGCTATTTTTCACAGCATCAGCTGGAGATTCTTATTGCCTGTGCATGACAGCACTTGGGGCACAGGTAGGTTCAGAGCCATCCATGTACAGTGAAGGGACCCAAATCTGATGCAACCTTGTCCAGAATCCTGCCAGGGGATGGTCCCTGGTGCATGCTGTCCTGCTGACCCACGCCAGGGCATTTTGCCTGTGAGCACAAGATAGCGCTGGCCAAATCCATGGCAGGGGTGATGTGAATAGTGACATGACTGAGCCTGCCCTCCGGCCCCGCTTCGTTTACCAGTGCAGATGTAATCCCCTGCTGCCACCAGGCCCAAAGAGACTCCAGATAGGAGGTGCTGGCAGTGGATGACAGTGCTGAGCAAAGCAGGATGCTCAGGACAGCCCTGCTCCTTCTTGGCCTGATCACGGGGAGGCAAAATGCAGAGATATAAAGCCTGCTCCAACCCAGGCCCAAAGCCCAGATAGCCTCCACCGTGCCTTGAACCATGGATCACTGACCCCACAATTTCACTGGTTGGTAATAAGAGTTACCTCAATCTCCCGGATTCTTTTTAACCTTGGAGAAGATGGAGAAAAAGCTGTCTGTGCTTTTTGGATTGATCTTCTTGCTTCTGCTTCTAGTTTTGTTTCTGGACGTGGATGGTCATGAGCTCCTTTGGACTTTAGAAAGGAATTATGATACGTTAAAGTTAGAAACAAGATTGTTATTAATCTTAAGGGAGTGGAATTTGTAGCACAGGCCAAAACCACACAAATGGCCTGATTTAATGCTTTGTATTTAGTAAGACTTATTTAATGTGAGCTCACATAAACAACATATCTCAGAAGAAGTGTGATGGGCTAGAAATTCTCTGAGATCATAAAACCAGCGCACAGCATTTATGTGCCAAAGGGACTCCCCGCACTAGAGCCCCAGTTGTAGCCACAAAGCCTTCTGCGGCCTGGCTACAGTGTCCCTGCAGACATTTCCATTCTTCTCACACTTTAGATGTGTTTATCAGAACATTAATTTCCATTACCTTCCACAGAGAATTAATTTTATTTAACCTGCACAGAAGCGAAAGACTGGAAAACAGGAGACAGTTCAGTGGTTATGGTACCACTAGGACTACAGCTTCTAGAAATAGCGCCCATTATTTAAACGCTTGCATAAACTGTTTTCCGGATATGAGCTACATATAATGCACAGATGGCATTTTCCATTGAGAGTCCCTCGGGTACAACCATTTCCTGCTCTAAGATAGCCTCATGCTGACGCATGGTGCCTTGTAGAAGAGGTTGAGATAACATGGCATTTCTGACTTTATGAAGATTTGTTGGTTCCTATGTACCTGAGGCAAAGTGCTTTGAAAAGTGTTTTCATGGAAGCCTAAATGGAAAAAATGATATGCTGTAAAATCATAGTAGCATAGGCTAATTTAGCTTGGAGGGGACCTCTGGAGATCTAGGTCAACCTCTTGCTCAGGCAGGACAAACTTCAGAGTTAGATCAGGTTGCTTAGGCCCTTGCCCACTCATTGTGAACATTTTTCTTCTTACAGTCATTTGACCTTGTCATATGCAATGACCCTTATTTGTTGGAAGAAAAAATGTCCTTAATCAATCTTAAAATACAATCTTTAAAATTAACTTGCATAATGTAAGGTAATTTTATACAAACCTGAAAAAATATGAACTGGCCTTCATGCCTCCAGAAGTTGGTAACTGGGTAACCACCATGGCCTCGGCAGGAAAGGAGCTGCAGAGGTCCATTGCAGTTTGGACAGCATTTCCCTGGAGCAAAGATAGTGGGAAATATTTTCTATATAACACCAATCAGCTGAATCCTGTGTGATGCAGTGGTTCATTGGATTGCCACTTCTGGTTTGGGGCTCAGAAACTAGACTGAGAAAATTACACAAGAACCTTTCAAATGTATGCAAAAATCAATATAAGCAAACTTATCATTGCCTTTTTTCTGTTCCATTATTAAATATAACTGGAAAAAATATTTATATTATAACTTTCTTATCATTTTGTCATTATTTATCATGGTCAGTTTCAGCTGGTTTTAACTGGGCAGTGTCCGGAATGTCATATGCGTTCTTGTCTGATTTTTCTAGAGGACATCATTCTGACCTCAGTGAGTGCTCGAGTGCTATGGGCTAGTTCTACTGAGCAATCAAAAATTGTTTGGAATGGTCTCACTAAAAATGTGTATGCACCTTATGTTCTCTATTTGCATTGTCTTGGTCCGGTGACATGACTATGAGGCCGATTTTCCAGTCATCATAGTTTATGAGTAACTTCTTTCCTGCAAGGCTTTCCTGAGTTACTCTTGGGTCCACGCAGTAATGAAGCCAACACTGAGGTTAGCAGGAACAGCACAGCAGGAAGCTGCCTGCACTGCACAGCTTTCTCAGTAGCCTCACTCATGGGCCTGAGAAGGCTGGGAATCAATCTCTAACCATCAGAAATGGAGATTAAAAAAAGAAAAAAAAAAAGAAAACAAGCAAGTAAACAACTCCTCTGCTAATGGTAAGAAATGTAAAATGCATTGTTCCAAAATCAAGAATTGCATTTGAATGTAAAGAATAGCAGCAGGAAGGTTGTATAATCCAAAGAGTGTCCTCTGCTTTGATTTCTTTTATGTTGTGTTCATTGATGAACTGCCATATAATGAACAGCCTTCTTCATACTCACGCTGTTGTTTTTGCCTAGCTTTATCGCATATGGCTGGTCTTAGGTAGATCTTCCTCCCATCCAAGGTGGAGCAGTCATTGCCGCAGACTACCACCCCAAGGCAGGACTTCTTTAAGATGCGAGAGTTGTGGTTGTTGGTGTTTCTCATTGCCCAGCTGCTGTGGTGCCTCTGAGCATTTTTATCCTCTGAGCTGTAGACGTGTTTTACATAGGAATCTGGCCATTCTTGAAACCAGTCTATCTGTCTTACATCCTGTGGAGAGACCAAAGCAAGACACATTTTAGGCCGGGAAAGAGAAGAGCTTGTGCAAGAGCCCAGCAGACCTGGTCTTTTGCTGGGTGTCCTCTAGCCTGGGTGACTCCAGCACCCTGGAAGGTGATGCTGGTTGGCAGGAGGGACAAGTGGAGACAAGGCAGAAAAAACATAGCTCCCTGCGACTCCCTGTGAGCCCCCAAGCATCAGGAAAGCCTGGCCAGGAGGTTGTTCTCACTCACTCATGGGTCCAGCTTGGTACAAGACCTCCCCGGCAGAAGAAGGTAGGGCTCCTGACGTTAAAAGGGCTAGATGACCTTTAAAGGTCCCTTCCAACCCTATTCTATGATTCTATGAAATGGCACAAAGTTTCCTTGCAGGCAGCAGTCACCGCCTGACTAACTTCTGTTAGCTTTCATGGCAGAGATCCTACTTTGTCTTTAGGTCATTCACAACAGCGTTACACTGAATCATTTGGCTTGATTTGGCTCGACGTGCTGGAAAAAGGGAAAATACTGAATCAGACTGAGACTATGCCCACATTTGTAGGTGTTTAGCTCCAGACTTTGGTTCGTTTTTGCCTAAGTGCCATGAATGACTTCCACGGTGATTTTTCTGAAGTCCAAAACAAATAACATCTTGGTCAGGTTTTTTTTTTCACTTCTAAGGACTAAGCAAAAAAAAAAATCCCAAAGACAAGACTGTAAGGAACAATAATAATAAAATTCCATGAAAGAAAAGATGAAGGACCAACCACACATCACCTCAGTGGGTACAGTCAGCACAGTAAAATGCAGTAAGCTGTACAGCACCTAACATACCCAGTGATGGTTTTGAGAGAAAAGGTCATTGTAGGGGTACAAAAACTTAGCAGCAATTTCGTTGCTATTGCTGAACCCAACCACCCAGAGCCATTACATCAGCAAGAACATCAGCTGAAAAGAGTAAAACTCCTATGGTCCCCCAGGAGCTATTGGGTGGTGTAAGGAAGAGTGTGGAGGAAGTCTCCAGGCTGAAATGAGGGTGAAGGTGACCTTGGGGTGGAGGGCAGGGAAGGGGGCAGGCTGGGACATGGAGTCTTTGAGCGAACAGCAGTGGCCTAGTAGGGAAGAGACTGGCATCAAGTGAGAAGACGGGGTTGGGAGGTGAAAGGCAGGGCTGGATGCTGAAGGACCGCAGCAGGAGGAATCTGGCACAAATATGCTGAGATGAGGGACAGGGAGATGACATTGGCCTGCAGGATGCTGTGGCCTTCAGTGGGGAGCATGGCTGAAACTTTTATATAAAAGGATGAGAAAACGGACTGAGGGAGGGAAAGATCACTATTCTGCCTCTCAGCAAATCTCTGCAAATATGAAGCAAGCTTCTCCTAGGTGCTTACGCAAGGAGTGTTGCCTTCATGCGGAAAGCCAGCCCGCTTGCCTGGAGCCCAATCTGCAGTGAGGCTGAGCACCCAGAGTTCACAGAACCACACACAGAATGGTGGGGGTTGGAAGGGACCTCTGGAGATCATCCAGTCCAACCCCCTGCCGAATCAGGGTCACCTACAGCAGGCTGCACAGGACCTTGTCCAGGTGGGTTTCGAATATCTCCAGAGAAGGAGACTCCACAGCCCCTCTGGCAACAACAGCAGAGTTGCAAGGCAGTCGTGGGTGCTGTGCTAACTTCTCATAAAGCTCTACCCACAGCAAAAAGCAAGTCCTGGCGATCTCTAATTAAGCACCCACAGCAGGAGATAGGTTTTTCCCTGCTTTCTCTGCACCTCATCCACCAGTGGACTAGAATGGCAGCGCATCTGCAGCATTGCTATTTTTTCATGTTTCAGCAGTGCTTTCGATAATATGTTTAAGGAAAAATGCATGGAAACTTCAATATTTGCTCAATATTTTCTAGCTCTTCACTAAAACACTGTCCCATACCTTGAGCTGGCAAAGAGAATAAAGGCACAGATGACTGAGAAAGCATTTAAGATCAGCGGTGAAGTGGAGACGACTGGTCAGAACTGGATTAGTTTCTAAGACACAGACACATACCTGGGGAAGTCTGGTGTCGTTGATATCCCAACTTGTCATCTCTTCATGCTGGGCCACAGAGTCCTCCTGCTCCATAACAACATCATATGCACCTTGCAGCATTTTTTAATTCCTTCCCAAATGCAGCGAGAAAGTTTCTCCTGGCTGCTTTTGAAGTTGACTGGCTGTCAGCGCTCTCAAGCAGTTTACAACAAGGAAGCTCTTTCCTGAAGCTAAATGATAGAGAGGCTGCTCATTAAAGATAAAAATCAGTGTTCTTCTGCCAGAAAAACTTGTTCCATTAAAAGTTTTGCAAGCCGGCAATGCAGTGGGAAATATAGCTTTGAGATAGCCTGAGGTGTTACGAAGGCACAGCTGACAGCAAGCAAATCGTGCCTTTGTCATCTGTTCTGTTTTGCTTGGTCTCCTCTCATATCAAGTTTATGGTCATGTAACTCTGCTCGCAGGCTCTTTGTACATCTGATCTGACTCTGGCTTAGTGTTTTCCAGAGCCAAACCAACTGACCAGCTCAGTGGCTGCCAGGGGCTCTTTGAGTCACCGCTTACCCGTTAGATACTTCACACGCTGCCCGTGACAAAGGTGAACAACGAGAGGGGACTGCCACATCTCTTCAGATGAAATGGCACTCAACATTTCAAACATTGTTGGCATCTCTGAGAGCTTACCAACTGCAGGAGGGAAGGGTAGAAAATGATGTTGGGCTACTTGAGTCTTCCTATCTCAACAGCAGACTGAAGTAAAAAAACCCGCTAAGGTATGTTTGCTAAAACCAACGGCTTTTGCCTGAAATTTTGTAAAGCAGGCAGTTGTCCTACTCCAAATGTCAGTACCAGCCAAGCTTAAGACCATATCCTCGGAACCCACGCATTAAAACATTCTGGGGCTTGTTTGCTTTGGCCAAGTGAGAAAAAGCAAATCAGAAAATGAACAGGCCAGTTTTCTCTTTCTGGAAGCTGGGAAAGCTTCAATGGTTTAGGGAAGGTCACTATAATTTATGCCAATTAAGGATTTGTTAAAGACTGCTGAGTAGTGGGAGAAGTAAAATCTACTTGATGCAATTCTATTTCACAGACTTTATCAAACATAATTTATTTTACTGTTATTTCTGGCTCTGCATATGCACGGCCCTTGGAAAGCAACTTAGCCCTCATGTCCTTAGTTTATTCATTTATAAAATACCTGTGATCTTAATTTCTCATGTTATATTATCCCCTTTAAAGCAAGAGTTTGTGGATATTTGCAGAGCACTTGAGACATTTGGCTGTGTGGTGCTATGGCGGCATAGTCAGAGCCCCACTGCCCCACTTCGTGGCTCAGGCTGCAGTGGAGGGGGAGAAAGAAAGCTACAGCAGAGCATCCCCCATGGAATAAGACCCCACAGAGGGGTGCCTGGTAGTCAGCACCAGTGCGGTCAGGAATTTGAACTGAGGCTGGTTTTTGGAGGGCAACTAACCCATGACAGGTGCAAATTAGATGCCAGACCAGAGGAGAAGGGAACATCACTGCTCAGAAATACAAACAGCTGTAAGAAACATCAGGTCTGCATATATTTTCATTTTGCACTACAATGAAGATGGAGATAGTAAAATCAGGACAAACAAAATATGAGTTGCATTGGAAAACTGAGTTGAATTTACTAAACAAATGACCCTTGACTATTGTGTGCTCTAAGACATGAAATGATTTGTTATATAATTCAAAATGATAGTGTCATTGCTTTTAGAATTACTTTTCAAAATGAGATGGCTTAGAAATTGATTTTTAATTTCATTCTTATTAGAGAAAATGGAATATTTCTTCTTTTATGTTATACTGATAGAGATAAAGCAATAATTAAATGTTACCTTAAAGATTAATGAAAAACACAGATAATTTCATAATAATATGCACAAAAAAATGAAGTTACAGAGACTCATACATATTTAGCTACTTGCAGGCAAAGGCTGATATAGTAGCAAAAACTTTGAATGATAATTACAGGATGATGTGACATTAAATTACTGATTGTTACTTGTGTAGCTTTAAATACTACTAAAGTGTAGCAGCTTTATAAATTAAGTCTGAAAATTTTTTCTTTCTTTTTTCTCTCTCCTCTCCTCTCCTCTCCTCTCCTCTCCTCTCCTCTCGCCTTGCCTTGCCTTGCCTTCCTTTTCCTTTCTTTCTTCAGCACCCTCTTCTTTCATAATCAATATAACTTTTTTGAGAGTACAATTACACACCTATCAACCATGCACCATATACTGTGCTTATCAAATTTAAGAAGTATGAATCAAAGAACTAGTATATCCAATGGTGGGTGCTGTTTCTTTCAGATCCATTAAAAGCTTCATTTTCATAAACTCCCTCTCCTGCCGTGCCCAGAACAAAGTGTTCTCTTCTTCTTAGACAAAAAGCAAAAATTTAGATGCCGACACTGAATTATTCTGATTTGGAAGTATACATGTAAGAAAAATGGAAATTATTATATTAAGAAGCAGCAATGTAAGCAGCACCTTTGTTTGGCACTGGAATGCAGTGCAATTCATTGTGCTTGAAAAAAAGTGAAAGTAATCTACTTCTTCTCCTGCCCTTCAGTTTATTTTTGCTTTCTTATTCCTTGTAAATACTCTTTGATACAGAAGATAAACAGCAGGGTGTAGCAAGGTTCTGGTTTTGGTCCAATGTATAATGTATCAGTTGATGATCTGGAAGTGAAGAAAACAGAAAGGGAGAAAAAAATGCACAGATTATAAAAAAATATCTGAATTAATCCTTTAGAAGAACTTATGTTTCACCCTGTCAAAATAATTCATGTTTAGAAGAGTAGTATTTAAAGTATCTATTTGTCTTACAGAACTGCTCTCAATTAACTCATGGAAGTGACGAGGGATCCATATGGGCAGTTCCACAAACTCAAGGTGTGAGACAAAAAGTGACCAGGCTGTTGGAATACAGAAAGACTGCAATGAAGAGCCACACAATAAACTATGGCGTTACCAATTCACAGACCGCCACTCATCTTTCACTTACGATACTGTGCAAAAATACTGGTCCTTCCCAGAATGATAAAGGGCTCAGGGCATAGGAAATCCATGAAAGCTGGGATTGTTCACTTTAGAAAAGAGACATATGAGGAAGGGTACTATAAAAATGACCTAAAATACAGAAGGGAGCAGAGGGTGCTTCTTGTTGTTTAGCTGCCCAAGAGCCCAGAGGCACAGAGTGAAAACAACTGGCAACAAAAGTGAGACAAAGAAATGCATTTTTCTTTCACTATGTAATTAGTATGAGTTGGTCTAATGAAAGTTATTTCCTTAAGCCTTGCCCCAATTATTTCTTTACGTTCTTGTGCTACAGCATTATTACTCATATTGCTGTAGTATGTCATGAAGGTTGAACATAAGGCAAGACCAAAAAAGAGACCAACAATAAGAAATAATATTTGAAGATTGCTGTTTAATACTTATATCTGTGTAACATCCGAAATATGTTATAAAACATTCAGAAAGAGATATTAAGCCTCATATTTTATGGCTTGTGGAAAATTTTAACTAGCAAGGATTAGGAAAGTTTCTTCTGTTTTCCTTAGAAGTACTTGCTGTTGACCACTTCGGAAAAGGATTATGAATTCTTAAAAGAGATTATGTATATTTACCAATTTGAATGAGCCTACAGGTTAAATTAATTCAATATAACCTGCAAGCTCCTATTTGGAAGGACAGTCTTGCAGACCTTAAGTGCAGATGTGTGTCAAGAGTTCTTCAGCAGTCATCTACAAGAGATCAAAGGCTGGAAAAAGCCCTGGAGCCCTGAAAAGCTTCTTGCTTTCAGGCTCACACTCTGGAGAGGGCTGTGCAGCCCTGGCAGGCAGTGCCTAGGGAAAGCAGCCATCTTGCTGCAGAGGTTGCCCACCGCTGTCTTCTGCTGCCAGGCTCTGCTGAAGGACAGCTGGTGGCAGGAGTGCATGGATGTAGGCTATTACAGGGCGGTCACCAGATCAGGCTCCTTTCTTGTATTGTTTTACCACCACACGAAGAAGGTGCTTTTGTCAGTGATCCCATCAGTCTTCCCTTTTCTCTCTTTGGTGTCACCTTTCAGCCATGACAACCTTTAACTGATTTCAGGTGCGGTCAGTGGCTCTTTATATCAGCTGAGGTACCTGTCCTGCCAGCACCACGTGTTTCACTATCTTCCATGGCTGCCTTTGTGCCCTCCCTGACACTGAAAGGTTCTCCCTGCTGACGGGAGCTCTCCTGCCTCTCCTCCACTGCAGGCGTTGGCCTTGGCAGACATCTCAACCTTCTCTGATCCCCCTTTTATTACTGCAGAGTTTCACAGTGCTGCACCACAAGACCCAAGGAACATGCATGCCTGGATGACAACTCTATTACACCAAGGTGCTACTAATACTGCTTGTGGAATATCTCTCCGGATTGGCCTGACAATTAGTTTTTCTTTCTCAAACACATTCTACAGACTTGAAAATAACAAATTATCTTCCAGTTCAGCCTTGCTGTTTGATCAACTGTGGCAGCAGGATGAAGTAATATGATTAAACTCCCAGACACAAAGCATAAGCTCACTACAAATAGATGTGTCATTTGTAATCAGAAGAGAGTTTTGGCCTGTGCAAAAGTGCACAGGGGGATGCTGCTCATTTTCTGGAGGAAAGCTTTTGTTCCCAGATGGCCCTAATGTATTCTCAAGTTGGCAGCCTCTATATTCAACATAATTTGAAATGCTCATGCTGTCTTCACCGTTTAGTGTCCAAAAGTGAAAGCTTCTCCTCTGTGGTCTGGCTGTTTGAAAGAAAGATGGACGCATTTTGAAATGGAGGTATTTTGAAATCCTTGGTTGGTTTTGTTTGTCCTTTGTTTCTCTTTAGTTCTTTACTTGAAACTAGTCTTGTTAATGCCCTTCATATCAGAAGAGGCTGATGATCCCATATTTTCATTTAATTACCATATTTCTGAACTCCGGGCTGCTCTGAATAAGAAGTCAGTTGTAGGTCGTGTAGTTCTTCTAGCTTTGCTGCTTCAGTCACATTATTTAACTTTTTTTTTTTTAATTTAAAAGTTTAATTTCCCTTCCCTGTCCAGACATCCTCTTTGTAGAGTGCTGTCTGAAATGACATATTCTGCAGGGTTCTCTGATGGTCACATCATATAAAACAGACACGTCTACAGCACAGATTGTAAACCAGACAGATTAGCCTGGAATTCA